CTGAGCCAGGCACTGTGCTAAGGACTTTATGCATTCTCTCACATTAAATACTTACGAGAAACCCCTCAGATAATTACTGTCATTTCCATTCTATACATGGGGAAACTGAGGTATGCTTAACTTGACATAGAGCACGCAGCCAGTAACTGGTAGAGTTGGGCTTCAACTCCAGGCAACGGCTGGAGCTTCCCAGCATAACCCTTTGTTTCTCCGTGACTGGCCTGGAGGACACCAGCTTTATTTCCAGAAAGGACCTGCTTTTCCAAGCTGGAGAGCTGAGAATAGAGGGCAGGACGATTTAGGGTTCACATTAAAACCAAGGTGAGTGCAGAAGCAGCACCTCCGGGAGGAGGCCTGCCCGGACTCCCCATTCTGGGCGGTGGGGCTATCCGCCCAGAAGATTAATGAGAGGGCTGGGGAGAGAGGAAAGGAAGGAAGAAAAATTGCTGCCCATTATACCTGTCCTTTGGCAAGGCTTGGTAATTAGCAAACCCTCAGCAGTAAAATATTTCGTTTTGGTGTAATTGCAAAGTAATTATGTGGTATGGGTTGTGTATTAATCGTGTTGATTAATAACACTCAGGTAGTAATTAAACATCTGCTTCATAATCGTGTGCAGGCTGAAGCTTAACATGCGTGCACTCACACACACGTGCCTGCGCCCCATGCGAGGCTCCTTGGTCCCTGTGGTGCTCATCTGTGTGTGCTTGCATGCGAGAGAGAGGGAGAGAGGGAAAAGAGAGGGGGAGAGAGAAAGCAAGAGCTAGCCTGGCTGAGTTGAGACCCTCCCTTCCCCACCATACACTGAGGCCTTTCTGTCCCCACCCTCTCCTGGGACCCAGGAAGGAAATGACCTGGCCCTGGCTGGGGCTGTGCCGCCCTGAAGCCTCTCTCTGAACAAACTCTGCCCCTGAGTGTGTCTCCCCGGCTGAGCTGCCTGGCTCCGTGGGTTGGCTAGGGGTTCAAGGGCTCCTCCACGCGTGACAATATGCCAGAGTGTCTTAGAACTCGCTGTGCTGTCAGCGTTAGACCTTTGGCTTCTAGGGTCCTTCCCTGGGCAGGTTACTTTCCCCTCGCAGGTGGGGAGAAAGCCATTGTAGGAGTCGCCTGCACTGAGGCCCCCCCGTAGTACACCCCTGAGCCTGGACTTAATGACCTGATCCCAGAGGCTGCAGGGACCAGAGCCGGACGCAGCCGTGGCGGCCAGGGGTCCCGTTCCAGCTTCGGTTCTGCCCCACACACTCGTGTAGGTCCGGTGGCCCTCCTCCTCTGTCCCTCCGGTTCCAGGTCCATCAAACAAAGAAAACCGAGCGTGTGGAGAGGCCTCCGAGGGCCTTTCCAGATCTGCCGTACTCGCATTCTAATTTGGTTTGTACTAATTAGGAATCGGAGACAATTTAAATTCAATACATCCGATCCTCGGTGAGTAAACAATCAGAAATAATTCCTTCCTTTATGACTTCTCAAAGACTCACTCATGAGCAATGAGAACCCAAGCTAAAATCAATAGCTTTTATTTCACAGGCAGAGAAATGGCAGAATCCCCGAGCTGCCGGGCATTGCAATTCATTCTTGTATTTTAAATTTTTATGTTTATGTTTATGGACTGCCATTAGACAATATGGATATATCCTGAAGGTTGATTTTTCTGCATTAACTTAACTCATTTTACTTATTAGTTTGCATTTATAGCTCGGGTTTAATAAGCGCACAGTGCAAAAGTCATAAAACAGTCCTTTTTTTAACCATATTTTAACATCGAGACTCTTCTCTGAGTCATCCCAGGTTTATTTGCTCATAACTTGTTTCTCCTGTGGTTTGAGGCCCAGCGTTGCCAGTGCCGGCCAGTCCTTTGACCTTGAGCTTCAGTGTGCCTCGTGTGTAACAGGGAAGGGCACCACTAATTAATAAAAGCAGTAGAGGCTTAGATTTTAGAAAGCAAGCATGCAGCAACCTCTTACTGTGTTTGGAGTGCTCCTCATACAGGCTCTAGTTGAATCCTGCAGCCCTATGAAGTGGCCCTATTTACTTACCTTTCACTTTATAAGGAAGGAAATTGGGGCTCAGAGAGGTTGAACGACCTGCCTGAGGCCACACAGTTGGTGGCAATGGCAGAGCAAACCCAACACATCTCAGTCCCGTCCCCGCCTTTCCTCCTCCGTCCTCCTCTTCCCCCACCCTCCCGGCACCCCTCCATCGCGTCTCTACTCCCCACCAGGCCACGAGGGCCTCCCCGTCTCCCTCTCCCTCTCTCAGCATCTGTTTCTACTTGCCCGGGCCGCTCCTTCTTGTCTACCTGGAGAACTCCTCTGCTCTCCGACCTTCCGTGGCTCCCCATGGCCTGTGGATGAAGTTTGTCATCCTTAGCCTGGCATTCAAGGACCTTAACCATCCAGCCCCTGCCTTCCCTTCCTGTCTCCTTTCCTACTCGGCCCCAACAGGCAGCCTCGGCTCGTGCTTCTGAATACCCACCCCACACTGGGGTACCCCCATGCCTTTGCTCACCCTGGTCCCTTTGCCCCCAGGGACCCTGCTCTCCTTTCTGTACCTTCACATCTGCCCCCTCCTCCAGGAAGCCTTCCCTGGAACTCAAGAAGGAAGGGACTCTTCTGTTCCCTGAACTCAGAACCAGATGTTGAGCCCTCCTTCGCCTCCTTGAACGATGAAAACAAGGTCTTTGCCTTCTCTTCTTTATAACAGCGAGCTCCTTTGAAGGTGCACTCTGTGCCTCCCTCATCCCCGGCACCTTCCAAGTCCCAGGAGCACAGCAGATGTTCAGTTAACACTCACCAAAACGAGCGAATGCTCTTGTTGCTCGCGATCTAGAGGACACAGAACTCCTGAGTCCTGTCTGTGGCACTCGGGGCCAGCCCCATGCCAGCCCCGGGAGAGACTTGGTCCGGATTTTCTCAGCATTCAGGGTAAAGCACTGACCACAGGACCTTTCCATCTCTTTTCCCACTCTGCCCGAGGCCCCACTCGGGTGTCTTTGCGCCTTTGCTTGCTCTGCCCCCTGCCCCCAGTGCCCTCCGCTCATCTCCCGGTACACATGTCTGCCCTCCACTCCAGGAAGCCTTAATGTGCCTGCTGGGTCCCCAGTGCTGTTGCCATAAGGAAATCAGAGGAGTAGGAGCCTCACGTGGGCATCTCTGTTTGAGAGCTACCAGAGCTCTGGGTTTCAGTCCCGACCCTGAGAGATGGGCAGTGGGTCCAACGCCCCCTTTCACAGAGGGAGAACCAAGGCCCCACGAAGAAGAGGATGTGCCCGAGTGCTCACAATAAGTTACTTTGGCTTGGGACTGGAACTCAGCACTTCTGTCTGTGGGCCCTTCAGGGTGTAATGCTGTCACCTCCTAGGAATGCAGGTCCCCCACCCCTGGCCCTGAGTCTGTTCATAGGGTGGGTGGTCTGCTTCTCCTAGTGGGTTTGAGGGAGCATGGTCTGGGGTGTGGATGGAAGATGGAAGATGGGGGGCCCAGAGAGGCGGACCCGCACATCATCTGGACGGGGCTGGAGCAGGACCACAGGCGGCCACAGTTAGCGTGCTGCTGAAACAATCTCTGTGGTCACCTATTTCCTGCAGCCATTTATTTATTTCTTTATCGTACCCTTTTGGAAAACGTGGAGACTGCCACCCCTACTAGGAATTCGTCCCATCCAACCCCCCTGCCAGTTCTCAAGCGCTGGCTGTGCTGGCTGCTGTCTGGCATGACATTAGCACTCGCCAGCTTGCAGAGTGCTAATGACATTTGCCTTTTGCCGGCTGGTGAGATGTGGGCTGGGGTGTGGGGTCCTGTGGGCAGGTGGGGAGTTTGCAGCCCAGAGGGAGAAACAGCTGTGCTGGGTGGGGGCCCTCACGGGTCTGTGAGAGGCAGAGAAGCGGGGTACAGCTGGGATCGGAGGGAACAAATAATGGCGGAATGGAGAGATTTTTGTCTAAAGATGTGCCAAGGACAAAAAGCAACCCCCAGGCCGGTGCCCCACCCCACCTCAGGCCCTCACCCGAGTGTCCTCTCCTGAGTTGCCTCCCTGACATTTAGTGAGCGCTTGCCATGTGCCACATGCTCTGTGTGGCTTCAGACTTAGAAAGTCGTTTTAACTCCCTGCAGTTCTTAAAGAGAGATGCCATCATTGCCCCTGTTTCACAGACCAGGAGGCTGACACCCTGAGAGGACACCTGAGTTGTTACCTAGGCCCCGACTTCTGGAAAGGGGTTGCCCCAGCAACTGCCTGTCCGCCTGCCTCCGGAGCCTATGTTCTGGCCCCTGTGGGCATTGCCTCCCACACCTTGCCGGCGTGAACACAGTCAGGAAACTGTTCTCGCTTGGGCCCACCCAGTGTCACCTGACAGGCATGACGCAGAGCCTGGCTGTGTGTCCTTGGCTGCCCCCCGGGGCTGCAAGGCTGACGGCTACAAAAAAAGGGAGCAACCGTAGAGAGAGCACCCAGCCATGAATCAGGGGAGACCCCGGGTTTAGTCCTCACTCGGCCACCAAATTTCTGTGTGGCTTCGGACAAGTGTCTGCCCCTTTCTGGGTGTCATTCTCCTCACTGGTAAAATGAAGCCGTTGGTCTGGCTGGATGGAACATTCCGAGAATGCTTTGGTACATGAGAAAGGAGCTTTCCTCCAGTGTACTTGAACCCTCCCGGAGTTCTCACCCACTCGCTCAGAAACGTGAAGTTGTTGTGTTTCAGAGCAAACCGTGAACACTCGCCGAGCGTCTCCACTCCGCAAAGTGCACTGTGCTAGACACGGTGGGCGTGATGCTTCTGTGTTTTTTTGGGACCTACACACAGGCATATGCATACCTTTGCATCTTAGAATTGTCTGGCTTCCCAGTGCTGATATATAACCCCAGGCTTCTGCATCTTTGCCTCATCCCACTGCCTCCTTGGGCCCGGAGAGCATTTCAAACAAAAACAAGAGACCTCGGGGAGCATGAGCGGCAAGATCTCCATCAACCAGGCAGTCACGGCTGGCTCTGTTGATCTCTGACAGGTGGGCATCTCCTGGACAGCCCTGAGCTTGCATCGGCAAGAGCTTCTACATTGTCATCAAAGCTACCTGAACCCTTGGAATTTGGCTTCTGAAACGTGGGCACAGTCCTTTTCCAGACGCCAGGCACCCAGGTAAGGGAGTTCAGGCTTGTTCAGCATGGGGGTTCTGCTGCTTTTGTTGTTGTGGTGGCTAATAGTAACCGTCGGCGGGGTACCCTGTCATTCTTTATCTCAGGGCCCTGTTTTGGTCCCTACGTTAGCAGGAGGGCCCAGTGGCTAAGGCTCTGAAGTCCAACAGACTGGGGTTCGAATCCTGGACTCAGTGATCACTAGGAGTCTGGCCTGGAGCCCTTTCTGTGTCTCTGCTTCCTCATCGGTCAGCCAAGGAAGCAATAGCACCCACCTTTTGGGTTTGGGGCAAAGATAAAATGAGGTACTACATGCAAAAGGCTTCGAACAGGATGGACACATAGTAAGCTCAGAACCCAATCAAGGTTAGCTGTTACTGAGAGTACGCCTGCACCCATGACAATTCGGAATTAGTTTATTCTCGCATTGATGGACCGGAGCCCACATTCGCAGTAGAATGTGGACTTCAAGAGGGCGGGGGTTTGTCTGTCTGAGCTGAATCCCCAGATCCCAGCAGAGCAAACTGGCCATTATTTGTTGAATGAACATGGGTGTGGGAACATGCGTTACTCACCTATATTATGCAAAATCCTCAGAACAGAACTTGGGGGTCCTTGCATTAGTTGGACTATGGGTTCAAGTGTGTGTGACAAAAATCCAAAATAATGGTTCCTCAAACAAAAGATTGCTTTTTCTAAGTAAAATTCTGAGCTAAGAGGATTCCTCTGCATAAAGAGGCCAAGTTTCCTTGTGTCCTGGGACGCCACCCTCTCTTGTCTAGATGACCCACGATGGCCCACGGCAGTCTCTCCTTGCCACTTGGCAAGAAGGGGAAGTCGGAAAGGGAGAGGACCCAGTGCTCTGAGAGAACTGCACACCACTTCCGCCACGTCCCTTTGGCCGGAGTGCAGATAGAGGGTGCGCCTGGTCACAGGGGAGGGTGGAAATCAGTCTTTATTCTGGGTGGCCATCTGCCACAATTGTATTTCAGTGAAAGAAGAGGAAAATGGGTTGGGAGGACCCTCCACCTTGCCAGATCAGATAGTTTACCCCCCTTTTTCTCTCCATCCTCCCTTCCTTCTTCCACTCTCTGCCCACCACTGACCCTTTCACTGCTTCCATAGTTTCACCTTTCCCGGAATGTCATATAATTGAAATCATACAACATGTGGCCTTCTCATGTTGGCCTCTTTCACTTAACAGCATGCATGGAAAGTTCCTCCACGTCTTTTCACGGTTTGGCAGCTCCTTCCGTTTCATTGCTGAACAGTACTCCACTGGGTGTACCGCAGTTTGTTTTTCCATTCACTCACTGAAGGACATCTTGGTTCCCATTTTGGGTGATTACGAATCAAGCTTCTATAAACATTCATGTGCAAGTTTGGTGTGGCCATAGTTTTTGAGCAGTTGGGTAAATAGCTAGGAGCATGATTGATAAGTTGTATGGTGAGAGTATATTTAGCTTCTTAAGCAGCTGCCAAGCTGTCCTCCAAAGTGGTCGCACCATCTTGCATTCCTACCAGCGATGAGTAAGAACTCCTATGGCTCCCCATCCTCGTCAGCGATCGGCGCTGTCAGTGCCGTGGCTTTTTGTGCTTCTGCTCGGTGTATGGAGGCAGGATCCTCCTTCTGCAGCTGAAGATTATGAAACTCAGAGAGGGCACCTTGCCTAAGGTGGTAGGGCAGGTGAGACATCCAGGGACTTCTCTGGGCCTGCTTGACCCCTGAGCTCAATACCCTTCTGTTGCACCGCAGCCTCTGCCCACGGCAGGTCTCTCTGAGGCCTCGGACTAGTGCCCTGGGGTGACACTCTCTCCCCAAGCTCAGCAGTGGCTGGATTCCACGGCCTTGTTCAGTGTTTAGTGCCTGCCTTTCCCAGCAGGACCGAAGGTCAATGAGGCAGGACAGTGGGAGTCGGGGGGCAGAGTGAGTGGATCTGACCCAGGTTGGGAGGGGTTAAGGTTAGCAGACAGCTGGGAAGGCTGGGGCACAGGAGTACCCAGCAGGCTGCTGGCCTGTGCCCAGTGCTTGGGTCTGAGGGGCAGACTGAGCTGCCGCCCAGGTCAGCAAGAACCAAGGACAGTCCAGACGTGAAGGCGGATTACAGGGGAGACCCGGTGAGAAGAGGCAGTAAAGGCAGAGCTGAGATCAGGTGCTGAATGAGCTGGGAGTCAATACTCAACTCAGATTTGATTAAGCAAGACAGGCAGTTTGTTAGCTTTCTACATATTGGCAGTTTGAAGTCTGTTTATTGGTATCCAAGGCAGGGCTAAACCCAAGGCTCAAATGATGCTCCTATGCGTGCCCTCTGCTTTCCTCCTGGTGGGCTTCAGTCCCTGGCAGGCACTCCCTATGTGGCCGTGGGGCCGTGACCCGCAGCTCCAGACTGACATCCTGCTCACTTCAAAATCCAGTGGAAGCAGAGCTTCTCCTCCTCAGGAGTTATAATGAAAGTCCCAGAGTTGAAGCTTATTGGCTGGTCTTGAATCACATGACCCCCTATGACCAATCACTGAAACTAGGAGAGAATATGCAGATTGGTCATATGCTGATTGGTCAGACTAGGTCGTTGTTGGGACATGGGTGGTGAGGGGGGGTGTGTTGTGGGTCAGGGGAGTGGGCCTGAAGGTACCAGGGGGCTGGTAGCCCAAAGGGAAAGACCAGGGGTTATTTTCAGAAGAAGGAGGAAGCAATGCTGGGCAGACAGAACAACAGAGGCTCCTTCTTGGTGCCGGAGCAGGAGGCAGGGAACGGGGAGCTAGCAGGAGGGCTGACTGATCCCAAACAGGTTTTTCCCGTGGCTTACGGCATGAAGGGTAGCCTCTGACTGGCACACCTCGGTTTCAGTGGATCTGGTACCTGAAAGCCTGATGTGCACATTCACTCACATTCACACACACACACACACACACACACACACACACAATGGATCCGCAGGTGGCGCTTCACTTTTCCAAAGGATTGTTCCCTGAAGTCCTGCTCTCCAGCAGCTACCCCGATATCTCAACCACATCGTACCTGGCTGCCCTGGGCTCCCCTCTACATGCTTAAAGGACCTCTTCCTTCTCTTCATCCCCATCCCCACCCCACCCTCTCTCCCTCATGGCTGGGGAAAGTTTCTTGAGCTCCTTGAGCATTTATTTGCCCTCAACAGTCTTCTAGAAGACCCAGCCTATGACAGTCCCCTTCTTAGAGAGCAACCACAGCCCTCCCCTCAGCCACCACCTTCCTGAGGCCTCTGAGAGGGAGGAGGAGAGGGAAGAGGCAGTCACTGACCGAGCCGCAGACCCGTCTCCAAGGGGCCGCAGGGGCCTGTGTGGGGCGGCAGGGCACGGGCAGGCGGGCCAGCCTGGCAGCCCCGGCTGGCGTCCACCATGGCAGTGCTGTTATGCATTTAGGGTGTGGGGTGTGATTTCATTTGAAAAAAGATCTCTGCTGAAAAAAAAGATGGAAACCCACAGTGTATGCTTCTGCCTCCCAGGCTACTGTGGCCGAGCGCTTTTTTAGATACATCCTTTGCTTGATTTTGGTCAACCACAAACCTCCTGGCTCTTCATCGGTCTCTCTCTCTCTCTCTCTCTCAGCCTCCCTCGCCTGTGGATTCTGCAGCTCTGACTCACCAGGCAGACAACTCAGTGTTCAGCATCGCCCTGCCTTATATGGTGTGCTCAGTGCTCCAGGGGCAACGGGCGTTCGTTCATTCATTTGTTTCTTCAGCCAGTGGCTATTCAGTTGTTATTACATGCCAGGCAGTGTTTCACTCGCTGGGGACTGAGAGGGAGCAAATCTGAAAGGTCCCCACCCTCAGGGGTCCCTGCCTTCTCTGGGAGATCCCCAGAGGGCAGACCCTTCCTCTGCATGTCTTGTCCCCAGTCCAGTGTGTTCGGTGCGGAACCACAGCCGGGCTTGGTGGGTGCTTTTAAAGCCCCCACTACGACTGGTGCTGCAGAGATCACCACTAGACCATGGTGGTCCCTTCTAGACCACTAGAATGACTCGGTCCTCACTCTCTAGGACTTAAAATTTAAGATGCAGCTTGTGATGGGTCCTGGAGGGGGAGGGAAGGCCATGGTTGCAGATCTGGATGCAAATCTGGTCAAGGCATGTGCCTAAGACACGGGCAACCTCTGCTCCCATTCTCCATTCACTCAGCAGCCCCTCGGAGATCAGCGCTGGGAGACCCCCTTAGAGGGCTCCTGACTTGTTTTGGGGCCACAGACATGAGAGTACATCCCTGTCATCTGAGGCAGGGAATGAGAGGGCCCAGAGCAGACATGTAAAGGAAGGCTTGGGGGTTCCGGGACCAGATCGAGAAGCCATTTCTGGTGGTGATGGTGGTAGGAGACTAAGGAATGTAGTGTCCTGGAGCTGGGCTTTGAAACTGGGTGGGACATGGGACAGGCAAGGGTGCAGGGAAGGGTGACATGGAGGAAGAAACAGAACAAAGGCCTGCAGCTGGGACCATGGGGCTTGGAAGCCTGCCCGGCAGGAAGTGAGATAAACCCAGTCAGCTTCTTCCCTGCAGGCCTCCAGGCTTGGCCGTGCAGGCCGGTGGCCATCTTCACAGTTGCCTTAAAGGACAGCCTGGGTTTGGAGTTGAGTAGCTCTTCCATTTTCCTTCCCCCCCGCCCCCGCCCTTTATTCCCAGGAAAGGGAATTTTGGAGGGACCCTTAAGAAATGGTGCTGCCCAGGGACCGGGAGCAGTCAGTCCTCCCGCATCGGAGTTTCTTTACAGAACTTAGAAACCGCACATACTCACAGCTTCACAAGCGGTGCACCTCGAGGCCCCCCTGCGCTGGGAGTCGGAGGCTCAGACTCTTGCCCCCGCCCTGCTGCCGGCGTCCTCAGCCTCCCTGACCAGGAGTCTGTCACTTGTAAAAGGAGGGGCAAGGCCCCCTCCAACTCTAAACCTTTTATTCCAAGTCAGCCCTGGGCTCGGATCCCAGCTCTGCGAGTCGCACGACCTGGGCTCTCTGGGCCCCCGTGTTCTCCTCTATAAATT